ACGGTGGCACGTGCCTATAATCCCAGCTACTCAGGAGGCTGAGGCAGGAGAATTGCCTGAACCCAGGAGGCGGAGGTTGCGGTGAGCCGAGATCGCGCCATTGCACTCCAGCCTGGGTAACAAGAGCGAAACTCCGTCTCAAAAAAAAAAAAAATACATTTTAAATTATCTTTTTAAAAAATAAGACCAGGTGAGAGTGCAGTGGCTATTCACAGGTGTGATCCTACTACTGAGCAGCATGGGAGTTTTTATCTGCTCCATTTCTAACCTGGGCCAGTTCACTCCTCTTTAGGCAACGTGGTGGTCCCCTACTTCCCAGAGGTCACCTTATTGATGCTGAACTTAGTGTGGACACCAGATCTTCATACTCCTGGACTTAAGTAATCCTCCTGCCTGAGCCTCCTGAGTAGCTAGGATTACAGGTGCACCACCACACCCAGATAATTTTTATTTTTTGTGGAGGGGGGTCTGGCTGTGCTGCCCAAGAGATCCTTCCATCTCAGCCTCCTAGTGCTTGGATTACAGGCGTGAGCCACCGCGCCGGCCTGACATTTCCTTTCCTCCACATTCTCTAGCTGTGTAACTTGCAACTCTTTAGCTCTGTGCCTGCAGAAGAACTGAACATTCTGTTACCAACAGAGCATGGCCCGATGAGACTGGTCCAGCGGTTATACCTGCACCTTCGCGGAGGCCATTATGAGTATCCCTACAGGCCCGGTCTCAGGGTGCCCCCGGAAGCCTGTACCAGCTGCTGTAAGGCAGAGCATGGACTTCCCCTGGGGGGACTAAATCCCATCTGTGGGCTCCAGAAGCCTCGCTCCTACTACGCCACCGCGTGGGGCGCCCTGGGAACCCGCCTGCTTCCCTATTGCCCTGAGGGCGGTTGGAGATGGTCCCAGCCCGTGTGGGAGGCGAAGTAGGAGACTTCCTCAGCGGGGCTCAAGGCTCATCTGGACCCAGTTTTCAGCCGAGGGGCGGTGGCGTGGGCGTCGGAAAACGCAGGAGCGGCTCCCAGGCCCCCCAGGAGGGGACTCAGGGAAGCAGAGGCGCTTTCCTCCGCCGCTCCGGGACCTCCCCAGCTGTCCGGTCCCCAGACCTCCCCCGGGGTAGAGCCGCTCAGCACCTCTGCCCCTGGGACATCTCGGCCCCGCCTTCCGCATCTGGGACAGTCGGAGGCTCAGGTCTGAGCAGGTGCGGCAAGGGGCGAGGCCGCCACGTGGCCTTCTGGAACACCTGGCAGAGCGCGACACCTAGGTGGCTCCTGCCTTTCACGGAACCGCCTCGGCCCGCACGGACTGAACGCCTCGACCCTGCACGTGAGGGGGGACGAGGCTTCTTCGCTCCCGCAGGGCTGCCCTGTGGAGTACGCGTCCTTGTGAATCGGGCTTCGGCTCCCTGAGCCTGAATCAGCGCCTGTAATCACCTGGGCGCTCAGCCGCGACGGGACCACAGAAATCGACCAGCAGCCCCGTTAAGGAGCGACAAGGCCCAGCCCTCTCCTGGGCTGGCGACGCCGTTTCCCAGCGCCCCCAGCGCGGCCGCTTGGCCTTTGTTCAGGGTCACTCTGGGCCGCAGCATCCTTCCCAACCCCTGGGAACCAGGGACGACTACATTACCCACAAGGCTCTGTCTCCAGCTGCAAGGAAGCTGAGCCAATCAGCGCTGAGAAAAGCGTCGTTTCCGCATTTAGGCCAACGGGTCTGGGCGGGACTTCCGGTATCGCTTCAGTGGCGGTCATTTTAGCAGCCCTTGAGTGCATGCAGTCCTTGAGAGCTTTGGGAGCGCTTTGTTTGGCGAGAAAGCCCAAAGGCGCTAGGGGAGGGTTCCTTCCGCTGAACAGTGGCAGGTCTAAGGGACAGCGGCGGCAGGTTGACGGTTTTGCGCAGGTCCCCTCGACCGTCGCTCTCGGGTCCCGCCCCCACTCTGCCCACAGGCTCCGATGGCTGCGGCCGCGCTGAGGGCCCCGACTCAGGTGAGCGCCGCCTCCACTGGGCCTCACCCTCCTTCATCCCCATTCAAATTCTAAGGCCCAGTAAGGGGTGCCTTCCTGAGTCCCTACGGTCTAGATCCTCGTGTCCAGTACAGTGGGGACTCGTGGGTGGGGTCCCAATTTCCAGAACTTGGATGATGAGGCATGGAAGAGAGTGACGGGCCGGCGTTTGTAAACTCTTAGAGATTGAGTGAAGACCGTTGATACCTGGAGTGTCAAGGTGGGGAGTTTTCCCTTAATTCTTAAGGATGCTAGGAGCCGTGGAGGGTTGTGTACAGAAGAGGCATATGGTCTGAGTTAGGTGTTTCGAAGTTTTCCAGAAGCCACATGGAGTTAGACTAGAAAAGAATGGAATAACACGGAGGCATAGGAAGGTTGAGTTCTTGTGCAAGGTCCCACAGTTGCTAGGAGCAGGGACTGCAACACTGAGGTTCAGAAACAATGCAGACATCCTCAGTCCACCGGGCTCTGGCCTGGACAGGAATACAAGGAAGCCTGAATCAGTAGAGACCTGCTCTGGTCACCTGCCTCTCATGATCTTTGGCTTTCCACAGGTTACCGTGACTCCAGAAACACATATGGACCTCACAAAGGTGAGTGGAGTGTGTCCCAGGCCCTCACTGGTCCTGACCCCATCCTGGGGTTTTTTCATGAATTTTTTTTTCTTTTGCCACTTATCCACTTTTTTGACTTAAGGACACTTTACAAACCCCAAGCTTGACTTCCCGATTCTAGACTGACGGTTACTTGTAGAAGCTTTTATCGGTGGCAGACAGTGGAATGAGATGTAAAAGGTTGTTCCCCCCACTTAGAATAATGTGTAATGTCGCCAGTGAAGCTGAGCTGGTTCAGAGAAACCCAACTCTTTTTTCTTTCTCATAGGAACTGAGAGCATCAGGGCAGGTTTCAGGCCTGGAATGGCTCTGAGAAATTGGGTGTTTTTTCTGGAGATGATGGGAGTAATGGGAGGTTTAGAGAAGATGAGGAAGGTTATCTGACACTGGTCTCATCAGGTTCACTGTTTGTTTTTTGTTTTTTTTTTTTTTTTGAGACGGAGTTTCGCTCTTGTTACCCAGGCTGGAGTGCAATGGCACTATCTCGGCTCACCGCAACCTCCGCCTCCTGGGTTCAGGCAATTCTCCTGCCTCAGCCTCCTGAGTAGCTGGGATTACAGGCACACGCCACCATGCCCAGCTAATTTTTTGTATTTTTAGTAGAGACGGGGTTTCACCATGTTGACCAGGATGGTCTCGATCTCTTGACCTCGTGATCCACCCGCCTCGGCCTCCCAAAGTGCTGGGATTACAGGCTTGAGCCACCGCGCCCGGCCAGGTTCACTGTTAACAAAGCATAGAGAATACTCTGTGGGTGTGAAGGAGGCAATAGAAAGACCAGGGAGGAGGCTACTGCAGTGGCCAAGGTGAGTTTTGATAGTGGCTTCACCAGTGTTGTGGCTGTGGAGGTAGAAGAAGTGCCTGGATTTTTAATTAGGCCTGCCTGCATTTTCAGATTTTTACGGTAAGAGTAGTCAAGCATTACTCCAGGCCTTTTGAATTTAGCATCTGGGAGGATGGAAACTCTATCAGCTAGCATGTAATGGGATTAATTTTCTTTTCTCTTTTTTTTTTTTTTTTTTTTTTTTTTTAGACAAAGCCTTACTCTGTCGCTCAGGCTGGAGTACAGTGGCTGGATCCTGGCTGGATCTCTGTAGCTGGGACTACAGGTGAGTGCCACCATGCCTGGCTGATTTTTTGTATTTTTGTAGAGATGGAGGTTTCACCATGTTAGCCAGGATGGTCTTGATCTCCTGACCTCATGATCCACCTGCCTTGGCCTCCCAAAGTGCTGGGATTACAGCCATGAGCCACCATGCCCTGCTGTTTTTTTTTAATTTTTATTTTTTTTAGACAGAGTCTCACTCTGTCACTTAGGCTAGAGTACAGTGACTTGATCTTGGCTCATTGCAGTCTCCACCTCCCGGGTTCAAGCAATCCTCCTCTCCTGCCTCAGCCTCCCAAGTGGCTGGGACTCTAGGCATATGCCACCACCATTTTTAGTAGAGACAGGGTTTCATCATGTTGGCCAGGCTGGTCTCAAATTCCTGACCTCAGGTGATCCACCTGCCTCAGCCTCCCAAAGTGCTGGGATTACAGGCATGAGCCACCTCACCCAGCCGATTAATTTTCATTAAGGATATCAGGAGTTTTGTTTTTCAGCTGTTACCATAGTCTGAGATGTTCCAAAGAATGATATATAGAGACATCAAGTGAGTAGCTGTCCAGCACATCTGGAATTCTGGAAGTGGTTTAAGATGAAGACATCTAAAAGGTGGCGGCCAGTGTTTGGCCCAGGGTAACTATGGGTTACAATTAGGAGTGGGTAATCCTTGTCATGAAGATAATGCTATTAATAACCCAGGAAAGGAAAGTTGGGGGCTATGACTATATCTCGTGCTTGGACACTTGGTAGAGGTGGTGAGCATCACAAACAGTTGTGGGAGAGAAGTGATCATGGGAAGGTTGTAGGAAAGAGGATGATCTAGTGTATTAGTCTGTTTTCACACTGCTGATAAAGACAAGTCTCTAGGAAGTTCCAGACTTTCCCACATTTTCCTGTCTTCTTCTGAGCCTTCCAAACTGTTCCAACCTCTGCCTGCTACCTAGTTCCAAAATCGCTTCCACATTTTCTGGTATCTTTACAGCAGAGCCCCACTTTACTGATACCAATTTACTGTATTAGTGCATTTTCGTGCTGCTGAGAAAGATGTGCTCAAGACTAGGTAATTTATAAGGAAAAAGAGGTTTAATAGACTCATGGTTCCACGTGGCTGGGGAGGCCTCACAATCATGGCAGAGGACAAAAGGCATGTCTTGCATGGCAGCAGACAAGAAAGAACTTGTTCAGGGGAACTCCCCCTTATAAAACCATCAGTTCTCGTGAGACTTATTTACTATCATGAGACCAATGGGAAAGACCCACCCCTATGATTCAATTACCTCCCACTAGGTCCCTCCCATGACGTGGGAACTGTGGGAGCTACAATTCAATATGAGATTTGGGTGGGGACACAGCCAAATCATATTATCTGACAAGTAGTCAAGGCTTCCAAGGCATTAGGGACATAAGACAGACATGGAGACAAAGAAATAATTGGTAGAAGATAACACTGAGGCCAGGTATAGTGGTCTGTGTCCCTGCAAACTTCATATTCTTAAACCCTAATTCCAGTGTGATGGTATTTGCAGGTTGGGCCTTTGGGGGTAATTAGGTCATGAGGGTGGAACCCTAATGAATAGGATTAGTGAGTACTCTTAAACTAAGAGGCTAGAGAACTACCCGGTGCTCTTTCCACCTTGTGAGGATACAAGTGGTCAGCAGTCTGCAACCTGGAAAGAGCCCCCACCAGAACCTGGCCATGCTGGCACTCTAATCTCAGGCATCTACCTGCAGATCTGTGAGAAATAAATTTCTGTTACTGATAAGCCACCCAGTTTATGATATTATGCTAGCAGCCCAAACTGACTATAACACTAGGACTAGTGCTTATTCACATGGTAAAAACTCGCCAGGAATTTGTTGTGACCCTTGGCGTGTCTGGGGAGGGTGTCAGTCAAGCAGTTGGATAAGTTTAGGAGTACAAGTGTTCATCTGTATGAGTCATTAGGTTGGGGGTAGAGAGCCTCTGAGAGTCTGTGCCACTGAGGCCACTGATTTTGAATGAGGGTTAAGAGGTTAGCCGGGCGCGGTGGCTCAAGCCTGTAATCCCAGCACTTTGGGAGGCCGAGGCGGGTGGATCACGAGGTCAAGAGATCGAGACCATCCTGGTCAACATGGTGAAACCCTGTCTCTACTAAAAATACAAAACATTAGCTGGGCATGGTGGCGTGTGCCTGTAATCCCAGCTACTCAGGAGGCTGAGGCAGGAGAATTGCCTGAACCCGGGAGGCGGAGATTGCGGTGAGCCGAGATCGCGCCATTGCACTCCAGCCTGGGTAACATGAGTGAAACTCCGTCTCAAAAAAAAAAAAAAAAAAAAAAAAAGGTGAGAGGAAGTTTATGACTGAAGAGGGGACATCAAGTGCAGCACAAGTGGAGGGCAGCCATCACTGTCTGGCATCAGGTGATTCTTGGTGGCTGAGGTTGAAGCAAGGAACAGAGTCAGGAAGATAGGCCTTCCAAGCAGGATAGAGGCTGTCTATGACAGTAGAAACCATCAGAGATCTGTGTAGCTGTCTCAGTTTGCCAGGCAGAGGGGTGAAGGTGGCTGTGGGAGTGAGACTGAGCGAGTATGGTTCAAAGAATGATGTGCACATGGAGAGGGAGTGTGAACTGAAGGACCCAAGGCCCTGGCATTGAGGACTTAAGGGTGAAAGGTGAACTCACATTTCATTGTGTCTAGGAAGCATCATCTGAAAGACTCTTGGGGAACTGCCTGACAAGAAGGGATGCAACCCTACATACTGGGCCCAAAGTTTAGATGTGGTACATCCTGCTCACATCCTGGTTGGTGCTGTAGAAGGACACAGTGATTACTGGGACCATGAGGAGAGAGTGGGCATCTGTGTCACCAGGGCCTGTATTTCCTTTAAGGTGGGGATGAATGAGCGGGTGGATGAACTTGATTGTGGAGTGACCTGTCCCCATCATGACAGGGCTGTGTGACCTTTGAGGACATCGCCATTTACTTCTCACAGGAAGAGTGGGGACTTCTTGATGAGGCTCAGAGAATCCTGTACCTTGAAGTGATGCTGGAGAACTTTGCCCTTGTAGCCTCACTGGGTAAGGCCCTCACACCAACTCCAGTTTCCTGATCTGTATATGCTCTTTTGCTGACTTCCCCACTTTCTTGGGATATGTGCTATGGGTGCCAGCACTGTGCACTGCCTGAGCAGCCCTAACACCTGCTGCCCAGTGGTCTGGGAAGCAGGTGTTCTGCAGTCAGCCAAATGAATCTCTATTGCCTGCCCTCTTCTTGGCTGGGTGACTATGTTCAGATCCATGACACTTTGTGTCCCAAGTTCCCCGCACCCCCATCTGCTAGCTGATATTTTCTTGTGGCTACCTGTATCATGATTATAGTCGTTGTCATGGTCTATACTTATGGGGACAATGGGCTCTTCTTACTGCTCTAGTTTTTTGGGTTTTTTTTTTTAATGATACTAACTTTCTTTCCCTCTTTGAGTCCTGATCACTTACATGTTCTGTGTTTCTGGTAGGACTTGGCTTCATGAAGGTCCCACATCTCTAGACAACTGAGGGTGTGCAGAGAAACCTGGTTGCTTTATAGGGTGAACATGGTCTCAGAGAAGGCCTGGGCTTGTTGAGTGGCAACTGGTGGGGGGGGGCACGATATCCAGGCTGTTTTCAGATCATATAAGGAGCCTGTCCTGTCTTCACCACTGTTTGGGTGCACATGCCACTAGCCAAACTGCATTTCTATATTTTCTTCCCTATACTTGACACTTTTCTGTCTTCTTATTTTCATCTATGACTTCTAGTACCTGGCTACCTTTGCCTTTCTGGTCTTCATGCATTATCTGCTCCTTTGCACTGCTCCCTCAATGTTTTCCGACATTGATGCATACATAATGTCTCATGAAGTATGCATATCTGATCACATGAAGATATGTGATCATATCACTTGCTACTCAGTTTCAATTGGATTTTCCTGGGCTTGGGCACAATCAACCTTCTGTACATCATGCAGGTGAGCAGACAAGGTCCTCCTCAAGACTGTGTGGTGAGTTTTGGGAATTTGAAGGCTACTCAAAGATAACTTTTGAGGCCATTGGTAGAGGAATGGTTTGCAGACTATGCCATTCCCTGTCCTCCATCCCATCCATATGTCCTTTATTTGGCGAGGGCTCCCTCATTCTGTGATCTTTAGAGATCCAGTATTGCAAAGCAACCCCTTTCTCAGCCTGCCCCCAGCTCCATTATCCTCAAAACAAACCTGGTGAATCGTTCCTTTGGTATGTATGTAATGGAGCTTCCTGTTCCCAGCATAGCCAATATATATTTCATCTGCTTTTAGGTTGTGGCCATGGAACAGAGGATAAAAAGACACCTTCTGAGCAGAATGTTTCTATAGGAGTGTCACAGTCAAAGGCAGGTTCATCCACACAGAATACTCAACCCTGTGAGATGTGTGTCCCTGTCCTGAAAGATATTTTGCATCTGGCTGATCTCCCTGGGCAGAAACCATACTTGGTTGGAGAATGTACAAACCGTCATGAGCCCCAGAAGCATCACAGTGCAAAGAAATCCTTCAAGAGGGATATGGACAGAGCCTCATGTGTGAAGCGCTGCCTATTCCGTATGTCATTGAAGCCCTTTTGCAAATTGGAAGTTGGGAAGGACCTACCAGCCATGTTGGGGCTTCTGAGGTCCCTGGTCTTTCCTGGAGGCAGGAAGCCCAACACAGTTACTGAATGTGAGGAAGACATTCACAGTCAAGAAAGTCATTACAGGTCAGGTGAATGTGGGAAGGCTTCCAGCCACAAACACACACCTGTTCACCATCCAAGAGTTTACACAGGAAAAAAGCTTTATGAGTGTAGCAAATGTGGGAAAGCCTTCCGTGGCAAGTACTCACTTGTTCAGCACCAGAGAGTACATACTGGAGAAAGACCTTGGGAGTGCAGTGAATGTGGAAAATTCTTTAGCCAAACCTCCCACCTTAATGACCATCGGAGAATCCACACTGGAGAAAGGCCTTATGAGTGCAGCGAATGTGGGAAATTATTTAGACAAAACTCCAGCCTTGTTGACCACCAGAAAATACACACTGGAGCAAGGCCTTATGAGTGTAGCCAGTGTGGGAAATCTTTTAGCCAAAAAGCCACCCTTGTTAAACACCAAAGAGTTCACACTGGAGAAAGGCCTTATAAGTGTAGTGAATGTGGGAATTCCTTTAGTCAAAGTGCCATTCTTAATCAACACCGAAGAATTCACACTGGAGCAAAGCCTTATGAGTGTGGCCAGTGTGGGAAATCCTTTAGTCAAAAAGCTACCCTCATTAAACACCAGAGAGTTCACACTGGAGAAAGGCCTTATAAGTGTGGTGAATGTGGGAAATCCTTTAGTCAAAGCTCCATTCTTATTCAACACCGGAGAATTCATACTGGAGCAAGGCCTTATGAGTGTGGCCAGTGTGGAAAGTCCTTTAGCCAAAAGTCTGGTCTCATTCAACACCAAGTGGTTCACACTGGAGAAAGGCCTTATGAGTGTGACAAATGTGGGAATTCCTTTAGCCAATGCTCCAGCCTCATTCATCACCAAAAATGTCATAACACGTAGAGGCCCCATGAATGCAGCAAAAGTGGAAGCGCCTTTAACTCAAGATCTATCATCATTAACTCCTGAAAGTCCACACTTCAGTAGAGCCTTAGGCCTACAAGGAATGTTCTGTCTCTGTGGTATTGTAGCAGTAGAGAGCCTTTGTGAGGGAGCCATCTGCCTGAAGTTGAATCTCATTCTACCTTGCTTCTCTGGTAGAAACCATCTCCCCTCTACCACCTTGCACTGTGGGGATTGGTCACCCTGATGTGCTAAAGCAAGGCTGACATCTGTGTGTTCTCTTAGTCTTTGGAGGAAATCTTGAGTAATCTGAGCCTTTAAAGAAAATTCATTCTCTTTTCTGACTGATCACAGCATACATGTGACCCAGTTTTGGTCAGGAGGGCCCAGCCATGGTTCTGCTGGACACTTATGTGCAAGGATTCCCTTCATGGAAATTCTTGGTCTCACAGGACACTTGGTCATTCTTCTAGCCTCCAAGTCACTACCTGGTGAATGGCTGCCTCACATTGCTCCAGTTTGAACACTAATAAAGGCCTTATATTTGAATCTACCTGTAGTCTTGGGGTTTTGTTTACTGTGGGGTGGCTGGGAAACAGACTCAACTCTATATGAAGGAATGGACAGCTTTTATGGGCCTCTGCAGGAAAAGTAAGATGAAGGAGTAATTCTCATTCTTGTTTTGGTCATATTTGCTTTGCTACCTAAAATCTAGGAAAAATGCAAGGTTTTGGTTATTCTAATTTGTGGCCTGGATCCCTATTCTTTCTGTGGGACTGGAGATCATGTTGAGGAGAGGCCAGCTGTTTTGATAAGCACCTTTGTTTCAGGGAATAGGACAATTTTATTCCATTGCTTCCAGAGGCTGTCCTATGATGCCCAGTGCTGTTGAGAAGCTTTTGATGAGGTTTTATAAGGAAACATGGCCTGATAGCAAACATTCCATAGGCTGATGTCGCTCAGAAGACAATGGGAGTCACGAGTGCACTGCAATTGGTACAAAAATACTGGGTATGGTGGAGCCTGCAGCAAACTAGTTGGAATGTGCCTCTTGTAACATTGGATTTAGAAATCTTCCCATAACTGTGGCTTTGAGCAGTCATAGAACCTAGAAATTTGTGTATGTCCAATAATTGAGGTTATTGTCACAAAAAGTAAGGTTTTTAAAATATATATATATATATTTTTATTGTTGGCTTTCTGGGTGTTCACCTCAAGTTCATTGCTGTAGAGGCAGAAAAAGGAGAATAAAGATAATAGAAGTCCTACAGGCCAAGGAAGTATTAATAGCTCTTGTGATTTCTATCAGTGTTGCTGTTGTCTCAAATTGCCACAGCATTGCTTGCCAATATTTCCTGCACTGAGGGATGCATAGTTGCCCTTCCCAGGCCTGAAGAGAGAATACAGTCAACATGAGATTGACAGGCATTCTGGTTTCTGAAAGATGGAAGATCAGATATTTTATTTGAAACATGCTTTACAAACTTTCTTGATGTATAAGTGACCTGCCATAGTTTATATATTGTATATTTTGAAGAGTTTGTCATATAAGCCTGTGAAACCATCATAATCATGATCATGAACATATTCATGATTCACCTCATGCTGTTTTACAGTCTCTGCCTGCACTTTCCAGGCCTTCAAGAGTCCAGTCATTTACTCTCCTTACAGGAGAATAGTGTGTGTTTTCTAGGATTTTACATGAAGTGAATCATAAAATACTCCATGTTTACTGTTGTTTTTCATGATGCACAATAATTTTTAAGATTTATCCATATGTGAATACTTCATTTGTATTGCTGAGAAATATTCACAGAAATATTCACAGCAATATTGCTGAGAAATATCCACAGCAGTATTGTGGATATGTCACAATTTGGATAAACAGTTGGATGCTTTACAGTTTGAAGCTGTTACAAATAATGCTACTATGAACATAGGCATATAATTTTTTTTTTTTTTTTAAGATGGGGTCTTGCTCTGTTGCCAGGCTGGAGTACAGTGGCGCAATCTTGGCTCACTGCAAACTCTGCCTCCTGGGTTCAAGCGATTCTTCCGCCTCAGCCTCACGAGTAGCTGGGACCACAGGCGTGTGCCACCACGCCCAGCTAATTTTTGTATTTTTAGTAGAGACAGGGTTTCACCATGGCCAGGATGGTCTAGATCTCTTGACCTCGTGATCCGCCCACCTTGGCCCCCCAAAGTGCTGGGATTACAGGTGTGAGCCACCACGCCTGGCTGGCATATAATTCTTAATAGGCAGAAATGCTTTATTCCTCCTGTGCCAGTAGTACAGTATGTGAATGCTTCACATTTATAGAAATGACCAGACTATAACCTAACTTCACCATTTGCATTCCCATCTACACTATGTGAGCCTTCCTGTTTCTCTTTTTTTTTTTTTTTTTAAGATGGGGTTTCACCATGATGGCCAGGCTGGACTTGAACTCCTAACCTCAGGTAATCCACCCACCTCGGCCTCCCAAAGTGCTAGGATTACAGGCGTGAGCCCACCACACCCGGCCTGAGCCTTCCTGTTTCTCTACATTCTTGCCAATACTTGGTTTGGTTAGTCTTTTTAACTTTAGTTGTTTTAATAGCTGTATAATAGCATCTCTCTGTAATTTTATTGCATTTTTCTGGTATTTTATGATAGTGAACATTTTTCTTGCGTATAGTTGCCACCTGTATACCGTCTTTGGAAAAATGTTTATTAATGTCTTTTGCTTATTTTTAAGTGGATGTTGGTGATATTTCATTTTTCATTAATAAATAGACATGTATAACAAAGACTTACGTTGGAACTTCACTCAGTCTTCAGTAATGTGATGCACTTCTTTGCTAAATGATAAAAATTGCTTTCAAATGCTGGGAAAATATTTTCTCAGTTTTTTGGTATATTCACAGCGTAACAACCACAGACACTGTATACTTGAAACACTACTTTGATTGACAAATTCTACATCAATTTCTTAGGTCTAACCATTCAACAAAACAAGCCCTGGCTTTTAATATTTGTAAATTTCCCTGGTAAAATAATCCCTTCATGGCCAATTACAAGTTGTCAAAGTAATGTCACCAAACATGAATTGAGAAGAGGTGGATAGCATCGCACCATTGTATTCTATTTTCACCATGCTGATATAATAGCGACAGATGACATCAAGAACAATTATGTAGGAACATACAGCATGTGGTGTGGCAAGACTGATGCCATCTTGAAGTGAAACTGTCATGGTGACCTATGTTCTGAAGCAGTAGCATAGGTATCACTTCATAAAAATGCTTATCTCCCCCAGTGGTCACAAGTCTTGGCAAGAAAGTCTGAAGACATGAGCAGCTACACGTTTTACCGTAAAAACTCCAGGCCAGGCGCAGTGGCTCACATCTGAAATCCCAGCACTTTGGGAGGCCGAGGCGGGAGGACCACAAGGTCAGGAGATCGACACCATCCTGGCCAACATGGTGAAACCCCGTCTCCAGTGAAAATACAAAAATTAGCTGGATGTGGTGGCGGGTACCTGTGATCCCAGGTACTTGGGAGTCTGGGGTAGGAGAATCACTTGAACCCGGGAGGCAGAGATTGCAGTGAGCCAAGATCGCACCACTACACTCCAGCCTGGTGACAAAATGAGACTCCGTATGAAAAAAAAATGTATTCATGAATGAAAAAATCAACTTTTTAATAATACAAAACCCTCAGACTGGCCAAAGATTTCAACACAGTTTAACTTAATTTTTAACTCATTTGGATTCTATTGTCTCTCATTCAATTTTCTTGAGATTTTAGCTTTTTTTTTCTTTTTTTTTTTTTTTTTTTGCGACGGAGTTTCACTCACGTTACCCAGGCTGGAGTGCAATGGCGCAATCTTGGCTCACCGCAACCTCCGCCTCCTGGGTTCAGGCAATTCTCCTGCCTTAGCCTCCTGAGTAGCTGGGATTACAGGCACGCGCCACCACGCCCAGCTAATTTTTGTATTTTTAGTAGAGACAGGGTTTCACCATGTTGACCAGGATGGTTTCGATCTCTTGACCTCGTGATCCACCCGCCTCGGCCTCCCAAAGTGCTGGGATTACAGGCTTGAGCCACCGCGCCCGGCCAGCTTTTTTTTTTTTTAACCATTGACTATGGTTTTCCCAGAGGCATTACTTCCACTATTTCTTAATAGCCACATAATTATTAATAGTTGTGATGTTTAATGTTTTGTGTCAACTTACCTGCATTAATGGATACCCAAATAGTTGGGAAAACCTTATTACAGGATGTGTCTGTGAGAATGTTTATGGAAGATACTGACATTTGAGCCTGCAGAAAATGTAAGGGAGATCTGGCCTCATCAGTATTAGGGGGCAACATCTAATGCATTGAGAGCCCAGATAGAACAAAAAAGGAGAGAAAGAGCAAGTTTATGCTCTTCTTGACCTGGGTCATCCACCTTCTCCTGCTTTCCAACATTAAAGTTCTCGGATCTTGGGCCTACTCGACCCTCACCCAGTCGTCAGGCGTTCCGTCTCCAACTGAGAATTTCATCATAGGCTCCCTTGGTTTTCAGGCTTTCAGATGCAGACTGAATGATAACACCTACCTTCATGTTTAACAAGACTGCAAAACGCATATCCTGGGACTTCTTAGCTTTCATAACTGGATGAGCCAATTCCCATAATCAATCCCCTCCTGCACATCTATGTACCCTTCTGGTTCTGTGTTTTCTGGAGAATCCTGACTAATACAATAGCTTTCAGTAATTTTCATTTCACAGCTGTTTTTCTGAGATAACTCCCCATGCAGGCACTGCCCCTGCAGTAACAGTATCAATGATCAAAATTTCCCATCAAAGAGATGAGAGCTAGGTGTCCCAAACCTTTATTCCGGCATTCTGGTGTCCCCTTTGCAGAAGTGCTCTTGCTCTGAGCACTAGAGAGACGGCTCTACTTTAAAATGACATATGCGGCCGGGTGCGGTGGCTCACGCCTGTAATTCCAGCACTTTGGAAGATGGAGGCGGGGGGATCACAAGATCAAGAGATTGACACCATTCTGGCCAACATGGTGAAACCCTGTCTCTACTAAAAATACAAAAATTAGCTGGGCGTGGTGGTGCGTGTCTGTAGTCCCTCCCAGCTACTCAGGAGGCTGAAGCAGGAGAATCGCTTCAACCCGGGAGGTGGAGATTGCAGTAAGCAGAGATTGCGCCACTGCACTCCAGCCTGGTCAACAGAGCGCGACTCCATCACAAACAAACAAACAAAACCAACATATGCTAAGTGGCTCTTTTTAGAAGTTGCTACAATCCTAAAAGAAGCATATCTAACAATATGGAGGAAGAAATATTACTTGAATAAAACACTGTTCCTTACAGGGTTAGACACACTCACTAATTACACAGGCATGAGAAGCATTTTCTGTGAGAACCAGAGACACAATTCCACTTTTGTCCTCCTTTGGTGCCATCTAACGGATGTTTCATCGATCCTGTCATGGCTGTATGTGAACCCTATTTCTCTTATTCCTCACTGAGTATAATGAAACTCACAAAGCTGACTCTAACGTTCT